ATTATTATTATTATTATTATTATTTTGTATTTATTAGCGGTTCATAGTAGGCCATCGGCGTAGAAATCTGAATGATATGCTTCAAATATTGTTTACAACTCCGACCATCTGTTCATTTATGTCTATAAACAAACACAGGCGAGGTTAGAATTGTATATCATCAGAGGACAGAGAATACATCATGAATTATTTAAACAAATATCCTTAAATTCGTTTTTATTTTTATCATTACATTCCAGTTCCTTCAATGAAAAAAATCAGAGAAATTGTATTACACCATGAAGAATACAGGGAATATTCCATGAAGAATACAGGGAATATTCCATGAATTATTCAAAGAGTTATCTATGAAATGTTCACAGTTTTCTTATTTGAATTTTCTGATGAATCTTACTTAATTCTTCAACGAATGGTTGAATAAGCTCACGGCGAGTTCTATAACAATAAAATATCCGTAGAAATTCCAATATTACATCGTCAAATATTTGAGCTTAGCAACTATAACAAAAAATAGCAATCACAATCATAAATATGAAAGCTGATCGTTATTTTAAGAAGTGGGTACAAATGAAAAGATCTGAAATTGACAACTTTTTCCATTTCACTGAAAAAGCTGTTAAACACTACTATCTTCCTTTTTGTCTTTCATTCATTTTCTCAGTGAAACCAAGTAGCGTATATCTTTTGTTTTTCTATGAGATCAGTATTTATGAGGTACTGGCAGGAGACGTTAAACAATTTCTTCCCGTCTTTCTTCTTTCTTTGTAGCCAAATTTCCGTCTTACGAACATTTATCTTAATTATAATTTAAAAATAATTCAGTAGACGATGTTATTTATGGTAACTGGATTTATGGTGATTGCCTTACTCAGTTTTTGTTATTCAAGAATGTGCGTTTGAAAAATGGCGGATTTATCGCGTTCGCCATCGATTCTTGGCCATTTGGTCTGGGATGCAATTATCAGCTGAGACCAATCTTGTGCCCGAAACCGCACAAGAGGGGGATGGGTAAATTTTGACCGAGTGGAAAGGCTCGGGTACGCCACGATAAAAAAATGATGGGTCCCAGTTCAGCGAGGTATTCACTTGGCATTCACCACCCCGCGAGTGTGGGTGGGGTGCCTGGTTAATAACTCGCTTCTTGTACTTTTGGCTGAGATCAAAGTGTAGTATCTGTTATCAGCTTAATCTGATTCTCTTTCTTTCTTTCTTTCTTTCTTTTTTCATTTTCTCGCTGAAACCAAGTAGTGTCTTTTATCCACTTTCCATGCAATCAAAACGAAATAGTTCACTATTTATGAGGTATTGGCAAGGAGTGACGGTCGTGTAAAATAACGCAAGGTGGAGAGAGCACAATTATAATAGAATTTTTTTTTATCACCTTTCGAATCCGCTAAAAACAAATTCGGAGAAATTGTATGTTATAAATGAGAATATGTAGAAGTTTCCATGAATTCTTGAAACGAATATTCTAGGTTCCAAAACTACATTTCGGTTCCGTCTTGGAACAAAATCGGAAAATTCCATTATATCAGTTAGAACACGGATACAGTACCGTGCGTATTAATTGGGACAGTGAATTTAGTTTAACCCTAGAACACTAACCATCAATTAAAGTTACACCACTACTAACCATGGGTACATCATACCCGATTTTGAAAATATATAAAAAAAATAAATAAATAAATAAATAAAATATAAATCTTTATTTGAAATAATTTACATGCAGGCACTTCAAACTTTGTACTTTGAGTTAACATTAATAGGAACTGAAAAACATTATTTAGGTAAGAAAATCAGGTACTGAAAATTGTAATTAAAAATAGGGAAATTTGCGCTGGGTACTGTGTACCCATGGTTAGTGTTCTAGGGTTAATATATTTTTCTTTTATACCGTCTTTGGACAGCGTCACAATAATTTAATGACTCCTAAACACAATGAAGACATTACAGTGGTCCGCTTGAAATAAGTAAGAATATTTTAAATAATTTTAGTAGTTTAGCATTCATTAGATTTGCTCGAAGCCACGACATTTTTCAGAATCGAATAAATATAGGCTTTTTATCATTTTAGAATTCCTGTTCAGAATGTAAAAATAGTGCCAGTATAAAATTAATCCCTGACTTCTTGAAGAGTTATCTGTTCTTTATTTACAAATGTCAAGTTTGAAACTGCGCTTACATTATTGATAACTGTGTAATATTATGGATTAAGGAAAAAATGGGATACATCAATAGAACAATTTCTGGGATGAGGAGTAATCATTATTTACACTATTTACATCCATAGACATTGAATTATTTTTCGGTAACAGTTAGGCTGTAATGTAAATTAAAACAATGTTATTCACCAAATTGTGCTTTTCTTCCAAACTTGTTTTTGAAAAAGTGTCATATAGGAAGAAAATGAGTAACTACCGACACCAAGGTTCGAACGTGACACTCTGGACTTATGAATATATGTTTTCCGCCAGGTGTATAAATAGTGGTGTCAGGCTACTAACTGTAGTGATTATTGAATGACTATTGAGTGGAACTATCCAGTCGAATTAGTGTGAATTATTGTGCGTCGATGATTTGGATGTTGATTTAGGATTTACCGGTCGTTAAACCCTAACCCGCGCTACTAACAAGGTATTCACTGAAATGGTTAATTATCTTTGGTTGGCTTTTATTTCTTTGTTCTTGTTAAGTATTTCTTTGCGGTTGTAATTAAATACTGTTTTGTTTTAACATTGAAGTCTTGAGTTATACTTAATTATTAACGGCTACCGTATGTCACAAAAAAAAAAAGAAATATGAAGATTGGGAAATATTACAAGAAATCATATGTGTTCTTTGAGAATTGGTCGTATGGCAGACTAAAAGGTAAAGCTGTAAAATTATTTCATCCATTATTTACACTAGCTACTATTGTCCTCGTCTTGATTGTTGTTTTTATCATAACGTTTCAATCGTTTTGCCTTCATCAGGTTTATGTCGATCCGAGTAATCTACAGAGAATTCCGAACTAAGCCCTTTATTAAATCTACGAGGGTAGACTGTTCTCGTTCAACTGCGCATATCTAGGGATATCTTATCCAGTTCTTATTTTTAGTACTGCTCAGTTCAAGTACACACAGCCCGGCTCAGGGATTGAACTCACAATTACAATGGTTACCCAGAGCGATATCCTCAATGGAGAGCATAATGGTCAAAACGTTGTGATAACAACAACAAAGATGAGGACACTAGTCAGAATGTAAATAGTGTAAATAGCCAGTCGAACGCATTTATTAATGACATAAGCAATTTCAAATTTTGCAGGCAACTCTGGGTAAAGTCAGGGATCGATTTCATACGCTATTTATGTTATGAACTGGACCCCCTCATTTCTAGAAATGAAAAAAGAAAATCGATATTTTTCGATTTTTATAAATGTCGTTGCTTGAAGAAATCCCCATGAAAGCTAATCTAAAAAATATTCCGTCCCAAAATAGTTTCCTTATTTTTAACGAGCGGACCAGCCAATTTAAGAAGTGCCGCTTTATTGAGGACAACATAGCCAATGTTTTTATTATGAACAACTACCAGTCTTCCCCATTACAACAGCGATATAACTTACTCTCCAATATGTATGTTCGTCTGTTTATATATAAATAATTTATACAATGACGTTACATAAACACACTCGTCATATAAAACCCACATGCTTTAAAAAAAAAAAACATACATAGACATTCTTTGAATAAACATATTGTTAAGACTGAAACTGACGCCATAGTGCTAGCGTGGAATAAATTTATCAAAACTCTACAGCAAAGAAATCTTTTCAATGGATATATCATATATTTTTTTAATAAAATTTCTTTTATTTAAATAAATTGGCAAATTCAAGTTGGGCGATTTGCTATGTTTCTTTATGTTTACTTTTCTCATTGTGTTTCAAATTTCCAAGTTGTTTTCACGTTAGCCTAAAGGTAGGCAGAAATTCCTAGTTTTGAAATTGGATGTTCGTCAATGACTCCACAATTTATGTCTTTAAAACCGTATTATTTCGTAAGAAAATGTTGGCTTCTCTTGCTATCTCTCGCCACACACACACACACACACACAGTAAACTGAATGCACATACACAAACACATACATGATTGCATACATACATATATATATATATATATATATATATATGTATATATGTGTGTGTGTATGTGCATGTGTGTAAAGGGATAAAAAACAGTTTGATTTTCATATATTTTTATTATAGTAATAATAGCTATCAATGAGTGCGAAAATTGCCCGGAAATTAGAAGTAAAGAGAAGATGAAAAAAGAAGAAAATGCAATATAGGAAAAGGAAAGAAAGAATGAAAGAAAAATAAAAAATAAAATTAATACAGATGAAGAGAAGATGAAGAAAGAAAGAAAGAAAAATAAATAAATAAAATAAAAACTAATTAAGAAAAAAAGAAAGAAAGCAAAAAGGAAATGCCGAATCTAGAAAGAAAGAAAGTAATTAAGAGCTTTAGAAAAGAGAAGCTGAAGAAAGAAGGAAATGCAATATAGTAAAAAGAAAGAAATTATGAAAGAAAAAATAAAGAAAATAAAAATAAATGAAGACAGAAAAAGAAAGAAATCAGGAAAAAATGCAGAATATAAGAAAAAATATAAAAAATAAACGTATTAGAGATAATGAGATGAAGTAATTAAAAAAAGAAAGAAAAATAAATAAAAGAAATTAAGAAAAAAGAAAAAACAAAGAAATGCAGAATATAAGAAGAAAAATAAATAACAGTATTAGAAATAAAGAGATGACGAAATAAAGAAAAGTATAGAATAAATAAATAAATAGAGAAAGAAAGAAAGAAAGAAAATATAAAGAAATAAAAAATGCAAAAAAGAAAACACGAAGAAAATATAAGAAAGAAAAAATAAAATAACCGTATTAGAAATAAAGAGAAGATTGAAAAAGAAAAAGAAAAGAATAAAAGAAAAATTTTAAAAATGAAAAGAAATTAAGACAGAAAAAGAAAGAAATCGGGAAGGAAATGCAGAAGAAAGAAAGAAAGAAAGAAAGAAAGAAAGAAAGAAAGGGGAACGGGTAAGAAAGAAAGAAAGAAAGAAAGGGGAACGGGTAAGAAAGAAAGAAAGGAAAGACAGTGAATGATAGTAAAAGTTTGAGAGCGAAGAAGAAAATAATAAAAAGGTGAGACTTAAAGAAAGAAAGAAAGAAAGAAAATAAAGGAAGGAAGGAAGGAAACAGTGAATGATAGTAAAAGTTTGAGAGCGAAGAAGAAATTAATAAAAAGGTGAGACTTAAAGAAAGAAAGAAAGAAAGAAAGAGGAAAAAGAACATCAAAAGAACACGACAAATGAAAGAAAAAGGGAGAGATAAATAAGTAATGATGAAGAATGAAGCTGTTGAAAATATTACAAATAAAAACTCTGAAGAAAATACTACAATAAAAATGTCCAAAATCTCAAAACATTCAGATGAAAATAAAAACTAAACGAATAAAAAACACAACGAACGGGGAAAAATAACGTAAGATAAGGAAAACAAAATGGCGCTTGCTTGTCTCTCCCTCAACACAAACCCCGACAACACCACTCTCTCATAAACAGCAGATCAACAAAACATGAAGCAAGGCTAAACGGATGATGTGTAATTTCATTGTTAGTTGGTACATTGAAATTGTCAATGAAGCCAAGGCGAAGAGCATTGGATAGGAGCGGTCGTATCTCCACTGGACCTTGGCCGGAATTTGATCTTAACCAAATGAAAAACGGAAATGTAACTTTCACCACTTGGTCATTGTTTGAACGACATTTCTTGAAATAGCCACAACTTGGTGACCACCAGATGGGTTGGTACCGGAAAATACTTAGGGAAGCTCTTAGTTTGAAACCTTTCGCTTTTTTTGTCTCATTTCCTCTGTAAACTGTTCAAGAATGTTTCTTTGTTAATAAAGTCACTCAACTTTTGATAAGAATAGGAGGAGAAAAGAAAGAATGAAAGAAAATAGGAAGAAAAGAAAGAAAAAATAGCAAATAATGACCAGAAAAGAAAGAAAATAAAAAAAACAGAATGAAAGAATATGCAAAGTAAGAAAGAAAGAAAGAAAAGAAAGAAAAGAAAGAAAAACAGAAAAAAAGCATGAAAGAATAAATAAGAAATGAGAACCACAGAAGGGAAATATGAGAAAAAGAACAAAGAGAAAATAACAAATGCAGACCAGAAAACGAAGAAAAAATAAGATGGAAAGAAAGAAAGAAAGAAAGAAAGAAAGAAAGAATAACAGAAAGAAAGAAAGATAGAAAGAAAGATAGAAAGAAAGAAAGAAAGAAAGAAAGAATAACAGAAAGAAAGAAAGAAAGAAAGAATAACAGAAAGAAAGAAAGAAAGAAAAACAGAAAAAAAGCAAGAAAGAATAAATAAGAAATGAGAACCACAGAAGGGAAATATGAGAAAAAGAACAAAGAGAAAATAACAAATGCAGACCAGAAAACGAAATAAAAAAAAAGATGCAAAAAAGAAAAAAAAGAAAGAAAGAAAGAAAGAATAAAAAGAAAGAAAGAAAGATAAGAAAGAAAAAAAAAAAGAAAGAAAGAAGAAAAGAAGAAAGAAAGAAAGATAGAAAGAAAAAAAAATGAAAGAATAACAGAAAGAAAGAAAAAAAAAAAAGAAAAGAAAAAAAACAGAAAAAAAGCAAGAAAGAATAAATAAGAAATGAGAACTACAGAAGGGAAATATGAGAAAAAGAACAAAGAGAAAATAACAAATGCAGACCAGAAAACGAAGAAAAAATAAGATGGAAAGAAAGAAAGAAAGAAAGAAAGAAAGAAAGAAAGAAAGAAAGAATAACAGAAAGAAAGAAAGATAGAAAGAAAGAAAGAAAGAATAACAGAAAGAAAGAAAGAAAGAATAACAGAAAGAAAGAAAGAAAGAATAACAGAAAGAATGAAAGAAAGAAAAGAAAGAAAAACAGAAAAAAAGCAAGAAAGAATAAATAAGAAATGAGAACTACAGAAGGAAAGATAGAAAAAGAACAAAGAGAAAATAAATAAATGCAGAGAAAAGAAAACGAAGAAAAAAAAGATGGAAAGAAAGAAAGAAAGATAGAAAGAAAGAAAGAAAGAATAACAGAAAGAAAGAAAGATAGAAAGAAAGAAAGAATAACAGAAAGAAAGAAAGAAAGAATAACAGAAAGAAAGAAAGAAAGATAGAAAGAAAGAAAGAAAGAATAACAGAAAGAAAGAAAGAAAGAAAGATAGAAAGAAAGAAAGAAAGAAAGAAAGAATAACAGAAAGAAAGAGAAAAGGAAATTAAGACCACAGACGAAAGAAAATATGGAGAAAAGAACATAGAAATGAAAAAAAAGAAATAGAGAAAGAAAGTAGGAAATAAAGACCAGAGAAGAAAGAAAGAAAGAAAGAAAGAAAGAAAGAAAGAAAGAAAGAAAGAAAGAAAGAAAAAAAAAGTAAAAGAAGGGAGGTAATATAAGACGTGAAGAGTGAGAACAGAAGCTAGGGGGGAAGTAATGAGGAAAACGTAAAGAAAAAAGGACGAAAGAAAGAATATCGAAGCAAAAAAAGGTCAAAGGAGATAAAGAAAAGGGGAGGAAAATGTAAATATTTAAAGAGACTAGCGTGAGAGAAAGGGATAGAAGACAGAAGAAATACGGAATGTCGACGGGAGAAAAACCATCAT